GAGAAGTCGGCTCATTTCTCCGTAAGACTGAAGGGTGGCGCTGCCCCTTGCTGGCCGTTACATAGAATACAGGTTTAAGACTTAACAGACCTGGAAGCTGTCAATGCTCTCTTTAGCCTCTTGCACATTTATTTGAAAGATAAAGACTGAAGCAGTTTTGATGGCGCTGGCCTCCCGTGTGTTTGTGTGTGTGTGTGACGTGAGCACAGCAGTGAGCTCACACACACACACACACACACACACACACACACACACCGTGACTCAGTGTGTTTTTGTATGTTTGTAGATGAAGCATCCTGTCTGGATGCCCATGTAGTTTTGCAGCAGTGCTTGACATGGCACAGAGGGTTATCTTGCGGTGCCAGGAGGGAGGGAGGGCTCGCAGATGGTGAACATTACATAATTGCAGCCCCCGACAGTAATTGAAGACGCTCTGGACCGTGGAGTCTGTATTCAGGCTGAGTGTGTTTATCTGCAACACCACATACTCAAGTAGTTCGTTTGTTCAGTTTGAGGAAAACAGTGGAGGACAAAAAGGTTTCTGTTTTTTGGGTGGTTGTCTCTCTCTCTCTCTCTCTCTGTCTGTCTCTCTCTCTCCCCCCTGAAGGCTGATGGGTCACCTTCTGGATGGTCAACATCGCCACATTTGTATGTTTACTCATGCCTGACCTTTTTTCCTCTCATCTGCATGAACTGAAGCTCAGGCCTCACTCTTTTTAAGGTCATCGTTTTCAGCTCCGCTCTCAGATCTGTTATCTGTCTCATTTCTTCAGAGAGTTCACTGGTTTCCAACCTTTTTCCTTTTCTATCCACATATTATATATTCAATGCATAACAATAACAGTAAATAACAGCTGATAAACTACAATGAACCCAATCAGTGAACATAATGAGCGATTTGGATGAATTTTGAGCAGATTATTTCCTGTGAATATTGATCAGTTTAACAGAACAGAGTTTTTCTGTTATTTCTAGTAACTTTTTATACATTTGTCTGTCTGTATTATGTATTCAAACATATTTATAACAATCATACAGACTTAAAAGGCTTGTTTTTTGACAAATTCACTATTTTCTTCCCTTTGTCCTATGAGCTCTTTGGTTGTTTTCTAACGCAGGACAAGGCTGTTTATCAGAGTCTGAAGGCTCTGTGAATATAACTCGTGTTCATGTCCTCATTGTGCCCTTATCCTGTTTATCTAAAATGATAATCTCTAATTTCATTCAGTTTTCTTTACAGAAAAACACATAAAATGCTGAGATATATGACTACTTAGTGTATTTTAAAGACTTTTCATACATCCTCTAAAAGCAGACCTCCCCACTGGCGGCCGTTTCTTTTTACATGATCTTGTTTAAATCAAACCAAATAAAAACTATAATAACTAGAGCATTCATTATTTTTGCAGCGGAAAGCTGAGGCATCTGTCTTTAATCACGCTCTGGGTGGCGTCAGTACATTACACTATTTTACGTTACGTGCAAAACATGAGAGCAGCTAAAAAAAGAATCAAAATAATAATTGTTCCAATCGTGTCCAGAAATATTTTGTTAATGTTTCTACATTCGGAAATCGTTCTATATTACATATAACACTATATTTTGTGTTTTTATTTAATAAAATTTGATGAAAAAACAAGTCTAGTTCTATTATTTGTTTACATTTATGACTCAATTTCAATAACTTTTTCAATTATTATGGTTTATTGACTTATATAACCTTTTAAGTGAGGTTGTACAGATTGTAGGGATATGAATTATTGTTAAACAAACAAAAATACCAATGCAGGCACTGGGGGACCATTTCTATTGCAGAGTTCAAAGAGTTAAAATCAAGAAGGTCTCGCGCCCGCTGTGAAGCTTTAGCGACCCCTAATGTTGAACCATCAGGTCAGGAACCAGTGAGTTCAGCCACTGCCACAGGTCATCTCTATGTTTCTCTTTCTTGCTTCAGATCAACTGTGTGACTTTCCCACTGCCTGGAGAAGTTCCGGAGCAACAGCTCCTGAAGCCCAACGAATGGAGCTACTGCGATTACTTCTGGGTGAGTTCTGCTGAACCTTCTGGAGATGATGATGCTCACACAGTACTGACTGCTACTTATAATCATACATTCTTATCCTTTGTTAATGATTTGTGGTGATCATCATTCACTTCTGTCTGGTACTGTCTCATAATGCAGAGTTCCTACATGTCCTGGAAAACCTGGAAAATCTGGCAATTCAGATATTAGTTTTCCAGTAATGGATTACAAATGGATTCAAACACAAATGGAGCTCCTCACTCAGATCGCCTACATAGACCTAGGTGCATATTTTGTTGGTAGCTGCGTGGTACGACACTTAAAAGTGGGTTGATCAGACGTTTTAATTGCTCCCTTGTTCCTGTCGGCCATGTTAGTCAGTCAAACTGTTCACAGCAGACACTTCATTATTAAGGAGGAATGAAACTGGAGTTAAATTAGATAAATATTTAGTTTATATTGAGAAAAACTTGAGCACGCTCAGTGAAAGTGCACATCACTGCAACAAAACTAATGTCACGTAGACAGTACAATCATACTTAATACGAAAAACGCTGTTAAGAGAATCTCCAGAAGGTTCCTGTCAACACATTTTGTTTTGTTGTTGTTGACCTTTAGCACAAATAATTTCTAGTAAATGTAAAGTGCAGTTAAAAGCTGAATGCGTTAAATTATGCGTCTAAAACTTGGTTTTGCACCGAGAGAAAGCAGTCAGTATGCTTTTTGCCAAATCTATCCGCTCTCATCCTCGTTTCACAGAAGGTACAGTTGTCCTTTCATGTGTTAGCGGATTACAGGTGGACGGCTCATCGACCGGCTTCTCTGCAAACATAGTGATCATCCTGCTTTAAATGTCTCCCCAGTGGCTCCAGTAATTCTCAGTTTCCATACATTTCCATCCTCAATTAGATTTGTATCGAAAAAAACCCCTCCGGCCTGCATGATAAACTGAAATCCGATGCCTGTTTCCTCCCACTTTATGTCCTGTCGTGTCCTGCTCGTGATGTTTTGTACGTCCACTGAACTACTGGCTCTGACCTGCTGTGTGAAATAAATCTGGCACCTCTGGACACGCACGTCAGTCCTGTCACAAACAAGACAAAGCGCCACGCATCTCCGGATCCTGCTCAGAAAAAAAACAAAAAAAACCCACACACATCAACAATACACATCCACCCATCCAGTGATTGACGCACGCACACCAACGCATGTCCTGCTTGACATGCAAGTGTGAGTCACGCATTCAGAGCTCAGTCTCACAAACCCCTACACGCTCTCAAACCCAAACAACAAAGAGGTGTTACTGGACGCTCTGTCCACAATCTCCACTGCTGTTTTTGACTGATGCTCTTCCTCCTCTTCTTCCTCCTCCTCCTCCTCCTCCTCAGACCGACAAGAAAGACCCCCAGGGGACCACCTCTGTGGCGGGCTTCGAGGTCCTTCTACAGAAGCAGCTGAAGGGCAAACAGATGCAGAAGGAGATGGCTGAGTTTATCCATGAGAGGTAACAGCTTCACTTCAGAAAAAACTGCAGTTTGTTGACGGCAGTTTTAATTGATTCGTTAAAAAGAGACGTCACACACGGAGTTTCTCTGGAGGCAGAATTGTTTCCCGTTGGAGGAGCCAGAGAAGCTTTTATTAGAGAAAGAGAGACATTAGTTAAAAGAAACAAGCAGATAAAATGAAAGGTCAGCGAGCTTCTTTCATAAAGAATAAACCTGGTGATATTCTCTATTTGTCTTATTGTCAGACCAAACTACAAAGACCAAAACAACCAATGAACTGATCCCAGTAAGAAGTATTTTTTCTATGTATACAGCTCCAATGTAAACACATCAATAAGCCACTCGCTTGCACAACCTCAACTCACGCAAAGCAAGATCCTGTCACTCTGAAGGCCAGAGTGCAGGATAGAACAAGGTCGGGTGATAAACGTGTGGTTAACGTTGTGAAACGGTTGCAGTCGGGGAGGGTTTAGGCATCAAAGCTACTTGGTTAAAAAGATTATGGGTTGTGTTAAAATGTTAGTTCCTTCAGTTAAGTTACGTACGTAAATTGCTGATATCAGATTGTGTATTATCAGAACAATGGGCTTGGGGTTTAGAATAATGGGCCGTTGGAACAATGGTATGGTACCCTTCGTCATGATCCAGCTAATCCTCAATAAACTGCGCTTTTGCAGGTTTGATAGAACCTGATAGAATAAGGATATTATGGATAAAGGTGAACCAAGATAATGACTGCAACTGATTGGACAAACGCTTGCTGCTCCGTGGCGGCTCATTTCTAAACTTTCTCTCATGTTGCGAAAATAGTGTTTCTGAAAACACTGTAAGAGAGAAATAAGCCGAGCAGTTGTTGTCTTTATTATTAGATCAACAACAGTTAGTCTAAACGTTTTTGCTGGACACCCATGGTTTGCATAAAGTAGCCTAGACTTCTACTTCATGTGCTACCAGAATGAATGTAAAGGACCTCAAGACATAACACCCCCAAAATCATGTATATGGTGTGCATGAAATCTTGTCAAAGGTGGGATAAACAAGGTCTCTCCAGAGAAAGCTTGATGTATAAAAGGATCTTTTGTCTTACAGCTTACAGGGTTGCATTTCATGCCTTCACCCAGTTATTAGAGCCCCTTTAAATCTCCACGAAGCTACTGAGGATACAGGATATAGATCTCTGAGCTCGTGCTGAATCTGAATCAGGACATCAGAATAACAACATGAATAATTAGGAGTTCACTTAAAACTTATACATCCGATCTCACGCCTTTCTATATAATTAGCTCCACCTAATGCTACAAAAGCTCTATTCACATCCTGGTCCAACTCGTGGGAAGTTAATGAGGCTTTTCTCTCTGAATATTCTCACCAGATCCTTGAGTAGACTTCTATTCACCGCTGACCTTTCCGTGTTGTTTCTCCGGGTTGCTCGGCGCTGCGAGTATCTGAACATTAAATCACAGAACGGTCCTTGTGACCTTCTTCAGGTGACAGATTTACTCAGGTGTAGATGGTAAATGTGAGACCCGGTGGAGGAAGCGAATGTCACAAAGGGCACAAACATGGCTACCTTGCTTGAATGGTCCTCTGCGGCAAATACGAGCTCATTTCCATCTCTCAAATGGCGACGGAAATGAGGACATTTGGGTTTCAGCCTTTGCAGCAAATCTTAAAAGAAGTTCCTGTCGTTCTGCTGCAGTTCACCCCCTGAAAACTATCTGAAACACTAAAGTAGTTTCTGTCCTCCCTTGAGCCAGGCAGCTTTCAGCAAGTAGGTTTCACATTGCGTTTTTTTGTTGCAGGATAAAGATTGAAGAAGAATATGCCAAGAATCTCTCTAAGCTGTCTCTGAGCCCCCTGGCATTGCAGGAGGAAGGGTGAGTGCAGTAAACAGAAAACAGTGTGTGCAGCTCCAAAGCTCCCTTTGAAAAACACTACAGTAATTAAAAGCAATTTGTCTGGAAATAGGGAGTATTTAAAATAGACTTATTCCCACACTGCTCTTTGAGTTTGATGCACCTATGAGAGACTGTTACTATCTTCATCAAAGGTTTTTTTTTTCATGTTTGTCTGTCAGCAAAATAGCTCAGAAACCTTTGAGCAGATTTCAGAATCTGTAGATAGAATTGGCTCGAGAAACAGAGTTTGGTTGCCGTCCAGCTCCGGAAATTTAACCAGTGGAGACACAAACCCTGAGTACAGATATAAAATGTGCAAAGGCAAAGAATTCATTTAAAGCAAATAATACACACTAAAAAATACAACATTTTTATCAATTCTTTCTTTCAGGACTCTCGGAGAAGCCTGGACTCAGCTGAAGAAGAGTCTTCACGATGAGGCTGAAGTTCACCTGAAGTTCTCCAACAAGGTAACACCTGCTGAGGATTACTATAGCAACAACACATCATCAGTAGGGTAACAACGAACCTGTCTCACAGAGGTCTAAACCCAACTCAACGCGCCATAGTTAGGTTGGAGTTGAACACATCAAAAGGATCAAAAAACACTTGGCTGCCACAAAGCCAGTTATCCACGTGGTAACTTTTTCTCTCCCTCTTTGGTCCTTGGACTTGATAAAGGCGTCTTGACTACAGCACTGGTTATAAGGGTCTCTAAGGCCTTTTCCACCAAATTAACTCTGGTTGTTGAACTGGTTTCGTTCAAGATTCTTGCAACCTTGGTGCTATCTATAGAAACCAGTTTTGAGTGTAACCATAGTAACCGGGTGCGTCATCAGCAAAGGGCGCCGCACAACAACCTTTAGGATAGGACACGCCTATTCAACCTACAATTTTTCTTACAACTTTTGAGGTTCCCAACCAATTTAATTTTGGTCGAAATGCTCCAAACGGTTCAAAAATAGCTTGAACTTGAACCCCAACAGAGTCAAAGAGAGCTGAAAACTATCAATTGAAGCAGCAACAAGAAACCTGAACTTTGTTTTGATTATGGCGCCCCCTGTGGACGAAAGTGGTAGTATTTCTGTAGGTCATATAGAGGCATCAGGAATAAACCGAGACTGTTTCATAACCAGGTAAAAACTCCTTGTTGTAGGTTGTAAAGGACTGGTTGATTGACCGGGATATTAAGCTTTTATTTTGATAATCCATTAATCATTTAGGTGATTTTAGCTTCTCAAAATGCTGCTTTTCCTTTCGTCATATGTGATTGTAAACTGAAAATCTTTGTGTTTACGATTGATAGTCAGATAAAGCAAGAGATAGGGAGAATCCACCTTCATTTTCTAGATAAAATGATTTATTTATATTGATTTTATATAAGAAAAACAAACTACTGCTTCCTCTGAGTCGCAGACATTTTATAGTCTGCTTTAACTTTTTGTCTGGGTGCCTTTGGTTTGCAGTTTTCTGCACCTTCAGGTCAAGTGTTTCATGTTTTCAATCAACCAAAGTAATGGATACTCGATCTGACCACATCCTGAGGTGACGGGGCTTGTTTACCTCAACCTTGTCAGTGTTGACCGAAGAAAATGACCTGTCCGCGGTCCGATTACCAGCGATGCAGAAACCTGCACACAGGCCTCCAACACAGCCTTAAATAACGCAGAGGCTGCCTCCGAGCTTTTCATAGCCCTCTGTTGTCTAATTAATTAGCTGCGTGTTCTGACGAGCTCCCACCCCCCGACCCACCCAGGGCCATGCAGGCTCTCCCCCCTGCTCCACCAGTGCTCTCTGACAGTCCATGCTTCATTATGAGATGGGAGAGGAGGAGGGGATGAGACGTCTTATCGAGCCTGCAGAAGCTCTGGCTCAGTTTCTAATAAGAAACATTTCATCTGTATCTTCCAGCTCTGGCGTTTGCTCTGGATTATAATTCTGTACGGGGAGCCGACACTGCTGACAAGCACTTTGTAGTTTATTGAAGTGTCATAAAAAAACAATCTTTTAGTTATTATTGGACAAGTGTTTGATGGGAGGAAAAGAAACGGAGGGAGAGAAACTGTAATTATCTCTGTTCGTGGGGATCGATGTAGGACAGGAAACTATGTTGGCTTTATTAAGTAATGTATTGATTTTAGAGTGAGGCTGGTAACAAGGTAAATGTTTATGTGTAAACATTTATTACTTAATACCTAAACAATGTATTTGCCTATAAGCACTTACTTACAGCCTGTGCCCACATAATGAAGTTCCCTTCATGGTGTCCTTCCAGTGGACAAAACATGACAAAGTTATCTCCAGTGGAGAAAATATGATGAAGTGCCCTCTAATACTAGCTACTAAGCTGTTTCACTACACAAATTTGTTAAATTAACCACTGACTTGTTTTCACAGCTCCACTCTGAGGTGGAGAAACCCTTGCTGACGTTCAGGGGCGACAACTTCAAGAAGGACCTGAAAAAGTACGACCATCACATCGCCGACCTCAGGAAGCAGCTGGCGAGTCGCTACGCAGGTGTGGAGAAGGTACTGAGCCTGACACACTTGTACATCATTAATTATTTCCCCAAATAGTGCAGAAAATGTCCAAAAGTGAAGTATTTGGCACAATTAAATACACATCAGTGTTTGTTTACATCAGAAATATTACATAATAAAGTGAGCTTCAGTAACTCCTACACTTGGAACATCTTGATGTAGTACTTTGTTGCTGCTTCCCACCTGCTTAAATCACTTCATGAATGAATGTGTTTCAACCGTGACCTATTTTTTATTTTCATCTTTTTATTGTGTAACAAAGGCATGTTGGGTAGCAGCATTGTGTGGAAGGTGTGTTTGCAGAATTAAGGGAAGAAGAAGGCAACGTAGAAGAAAGAATATTGTTCTGCATTTAAACATTTTGATGGTACTTCTGTTCAGGTTTTCTTATTTTTCTCATATTAAAGGTTAAAAAAGAGGCTATTGTGAAGTTACTGTAGCTACGTCTGTCAAGATGTATCTTCCTGCATGGCACAGATGCAGTTATAATGCAGATTGATATTATATAGAATTTTCTAAACAATAGACCAAATCCGGCTTCTCATTTCTTGCCAGTGACCGTCAATTTTGTCCACTAAAATATATTTAATCCCCTAGCTAGCTAGCTAATTAGGCTAACTACCTCCGTGAGTTCATTTAAAATCGAAGAATCCTGTAAAAAATGTAAATATGCACATACAGCTATGTTTAGCTAACGGTCAATTGTGTTGCATAATAGCTAAAAATCTAAACTTTTACACTGAGTGTGTTTGTATATTTGAGCCCTCCTTAAATTATTGTGTTGAATATTAACTTAAACTTTGACATATTTTATAGTTAACCATCTTTTACTGACTTACTTACTTTATCCCGGCTAGCACTTTGATCCTGCCCAAATAATAACGCCCGACTCGACCCCGAATTGAACTCGAATTTCTGCGGAACATAAATAAAACAATTATTTAAATCATTTTTTATGAGCTAAACTGCATTGTCCATACAGTATAGAGTGCAAATTATTATCAAACCTAATAAATGACAAGTTAATTAAAACAAAAACAAAAGTGACCTTATCAGTGGATTTATTATTACTTATTTCCTTTCTGATAGTATCTCCTGAATATATTTTGTAGTCCGCCACCGTTACTGTATGTTTACCTTTTCGAACACTGTGACCTTGTGGAGGTGGCTCCATAAAGAATAAGAGGAAAGACTCAATGTTGTGGATTAAGAAAAGATTAAAGGATCTGAGCGCAGATGTCAGCAGCCAACATGAAAAGGCCGTAATGACTCTTGTAATAGATGTAGGTACAGTAAATCTAACGGATTAAGCTGAATGAGTCATTGTTTCTGCGTTCACACATCCTGCTTTATGTGCGTCTGTGTTTGCAGGCTCGTAAAGCCCTGGCAGACAGACAGAAGGATCTGGAGGTGAAGACCCAGCAGCTGGAGATCAAACTCAGCAACAAGACGGAGGAGGACATAAAGAAAGCCCGGCGGAAATCCACACAAGCAGGTCAGAAGAGTCGGCGCTTGAATAAGAGTCGGTCACAGCTCGTGTTTGGAGAGCGTTTACTTCACCAAACCCCCTAAAAGTGAAACTGTTTGGATGGAAAAGTTACGATTTTAAACACAAAGAAAACAGATACTAACATCTGTTCGGGGCTGTAAAGGTATAGAAGTGGAATCATAGCAAAAAACATCATGTTTATCTAAAGTTAAAGCAACTTTTATGTGGTTTATTTGTATAATGTTGTGAGGAATAGCTTAGAGAGAGGCTGTACGGTGAATATGAATAATATTAATTTGGACAAAACAAATGATAAAAATTACAAGTTATGATTCAGAAAGACGGTAGATGAAAAATAGGATGTCATGTTAGTTACTTTATTGAAAGACATTTTTTGAAAATACGGCACATAAGATGTCATAAGTTTTTAGATACAGTTTTAAAAACAAACACAAGAAGTTGATCAAAGTAAGAACTAATTTGTATTTACTCGAATATTCACCCTTTAATATGGTTTACAACGGCAGTAATGAGCCTAAAATAAACACATTTTGCTGTGATTTAATGTCAATAAACGGATGAAAATGGTGCCGAAATAACAACATAATGATGGCGATTTGTAAAAGTCTGAATTTGTACTTTGTGGGGTCTGTGCGCAAGTCGCCGAGCAAACAACTTTTAAAATGCTTGTTTTCTGAATGGAGTTTGGTTGATCTGGACTACGCTAACTGCTGCCAGCTGCTCTGTCTCTGCACTACTTTGTTTCGTTGTTTCAGGTTTTTAAATGTGAAAGTAAATATATGATCAGATCTGTTTGTTTAAAAGTTATATATGTATCTTAGTCTTAGTCGATAATGTAATTTTATTAATGTAAAATGTAGCTTCACTCGTTAAATACTCGTTAAATGTCAGCGACGAAAATTTTTTTTATTTTTAATGGAAAAACTTTTTATTATTAGCTAAAATAACGTTAACAACAACTTTGGAGCCACTTTTCTTATATATAGTTAATTATTACTGAAAAGTATAAATATATGTATTATTATTAAAAATCCCCAAAATTTACATTTAAGCAATCTCTTAGTTTAAGTATTTTCATAAAATCTGTAGTATTTTGATATAATTACATGTTTTCAAATAAATTAATTTAATTTTTACTGTAGTTTAAATTAGTTTAGAGGTAAAAGCAGAGCAGGAGACATTTTAATAAATAAGATCCTGTTGTAATTGTCCTGCACAGGCTTCCGTAGAGTCCCTCTTCCCCTCAGTAGATCAGCCACAGTCCACACAGCACTAATCAATAATCCTCATAAGAAATAATTTAAAGGATGTCAGCGTGACAGCTTTTTTTTGTTTGTTTATTTTTTAAGTTCGATTCTTTGTTTAATTATTAATTTATGTTAACTCACTTCTTTTATGAAAATGTGTTTTTACAGGTTTTACAGTAAAAGGATCTTAAAGTTAAAGTACAGATTCTGCAGAAAAATGGTCTGTGACGATGCATTTTCCAACAAATCCAGGAGGGTTTTTAAATAATTTAACACATAAAGGAACATTTCATCCTTCAGTTTATCACAAACATTAAAAGTCACTTAATTTAGAGGTTTCACTGGACAGGATTAAAAACTGTAATCTGATAAGTAACTAAAGACCTGGTTATATTTCACCACTGGAGTAAAATGTATACATATTATCTTAATTCAAGATCATTTAAGATGTTTCTTTATTGATCTGCTGTAGGGGAAATTTAAATTTGGTGTATCAGTATCAGTATGCAAAGAGTAGAAACAAATATATACAATAAAATAAAAACTGTAAAATGAATCTGCACAGGCTGTAATATATGTTATTGGATTATTATTCAACTCCACTTTAAAACAAAGCTTTTACTAACAGCTTCGTGTCCACTTTAAACTGTGATTCATCTGTGGGTGAGTGAGGAGTGACGTCTGAGCGCCCTCTGCTGGTCCTTCAAGGGTTTTCACTCCACGTGCAGATTATACAACAACAGATGATTTAAAAAAGAAGGAATGAACCTTGTGAATGCAGATTGTTCTGACCTCTGACCTCTGTATTCCTTCAGGAGACGACCTGATGCGCTGCGTGGATCTGTACAACCAGACCCAGTCCAAGTGGTTTGAGGAGATGGTCACCACCAGCATGGTAAAAACTTTTTGAATGCAGCTTTACCCTCAAAAAAATCCTAAATAAAACAATAAAACTCCTTTTAAACAATAAAACTCCTGTTAAAATGCTTTTATTGTGGCGGGATGGTCAAATTAGACCTTGAAACACATCCTCAGTAGACAGATGTCATAGAGCAAAAAGCCCTTTTATAACTGTTATTAAAACCGCTGATCAATACGTGTATCTGGAGTTTTATAGCAAGGAAAGAAGGAATATTGATTTTGTTGTTGTTGTTGTTGTCATTAGTACACATACAGTAGTGAGGTCTGTAAAAACGAGTCAGTAAAACCAACCAAACAACAGAGTTAACTGTGTGTTTGTGTGTTAATGAACTCTCGTCTTTCATTGTAGGAGCTCGAGAAACTGGAGGTGGAACGTATCGAGTGGATTCAGCAGCATTTACGCCAGTACACGACTCTGAGGCACGAAACCGACATGTTCAACCAGAGCGTGAGTCTGTTTACCTGTTTACCTGTTTACCTGTTTGTTTATGTGCCCACACTGAGGACAGGTACCTTTCTCCTTCAGGTAGTAAACTGACTATGGGACATATTTTATATTATATTCAACAATAACAGTAAAGAACAGCTGATAAACTGAACAATGAACAAAAAATGTGTAAAACCAGAGATTTTGAGCAGATTATTTCCTGTGATTATTGATCAGAGATGAGCTTTACTGATATTTTTATACAATTATTACAAAATTTTTCATCAGTATTATGTATTTTTATACTTAATAGGCTTAATTTTGGGGCAAATTCAGTCATTTTTCAGGCGATCAGAGAGTGAAGGCTCTGTGAATATAGTTTGTGTTCATGTCTTCAAAGTTCAGATCCTAAATAAGTATCCAAACCTTAAAACAAAAATTTGAATGAAAAGCTGAGCAAAATCAATAAGGCCTACAACCCACTAATAGTCCTCAGAGGCAGAGTTGAAGAATAGGGTAAAACCCAATAGACCTTTTTTCACTGGTAAAAACCTGTGTTAATATCACTTTATCTGCCGTTCCTGTTTGCATATGGAAGAAAGAAAAAAGTAACGTAAAACTAATGTAGGCTAAATGAGATTATACAGCTTGTTAAGGGGGAAAAAACATTTCTAATATTTAAAATATAACATATAATATATAACAATATATAATCAACAATATCTTAAGAATAAAAGACTTATAACTTCCAGAACTTGCCTGAAATGTCACATTTTTAAGTTTTCTTCAGTATAAAAGTAATATAGGGATAGTTAGGGTTAGTACATCCAGGAGTTCACTGCAAACAAGAAGTGATACTAAATAATTCTGCATACTTTTAATAGTGCTAATTTACCAAAATGTGATCAATTCCCCAATAGGAGGAGTTAAAAATCCAATACAATGTTAAGCCATTTTGCCACTTCCATATGTTAGAGCCTGTTGCAGCCACCAAAAGTGTGAGTACTTTGGCAGAATAATAGTAATTTCATTGCATTTTATATTAAATATAAGCTTAATTCACATTGTACATTACATCCTATATATAGGATATGAGTATTTCCCCTACAAACAGCCCTTTAAACACACATTTTCAGTTAGATTGAAGGTTATTTTCATGTATCTACTCCCCACATTTTATTTAAAACTAATCAATCAAACAGCAAACAACTGAGCAAACCATCATTAGCTGTGTCGGTTGACTGCAACAGGCTTTGACATAATTTGCGTGCCACTTCAGCTGAGCCCGTCGGTGAGTGCAGACGCTGTGACAGACGCAGCCCGAGGTCTTCCTCGCTGTCAGCCTTTCATCCAACACATTCGCTGTCAGAGGCTCATTCAGGAGCTGTAGAGTAAACCCTGGAAATCCAACGAGACGTATTGTGTCGGCGCTGTGGGATGTCAGGCTGCTTCTCACTGTGCTGGCTGACGTTCCTCAGAGATGATACACACATCATCCTATATATCTTTTATTTTTCACCCAGAATTTAAGTTAATCTCAGATTTAACACAGTTTAATAAACTATTAAGAGTTAATGTTAATCTTCATCAAAACCATCCAACAAACACTAAATAAGTTGTAGAATTAGTTCTCGATTACACGCAAAAAGCAGAAATTGTCGATTGTGCTAGCCATCACTATCATATTTTATCATTTAATGTACGGCATGAGCATATTTTAGCATATTTGAGCATATTTTATTGTAGCTGACCAACAAGCTAATGGGCTAGCTAAGTTTAGCTTAGCACAAATACTGAAAACAGCTGTCCAACAAAACCAATCACCTTAAAGTTCATAAATATACTTATCTTCATCTGTTTAATTTAGGAGGAAAACTATAGTTTATTATATAATTAGTCATTTACAGGGGTTATGTGCCTGGCTATGCTGTGTACAGTCTGTCTGCTTTAGCCTTATATTAATGGACATTACATATTATTTACAGAGCACATTATATGAAATAAATATAAAAAACATGTAAAAATGGCTGGAGATATCAATGAATGCTAAAAAATCAGAGTGCTATCGATCTTACTCAACATTGACCCAAACATGTCAAACTATTAATTAAAACCTACGTTTATTCAGTTTTATGCGCCACAAGTTTTTGTGAATGACTTTTGACCAACACATATTCAATTTTCAAATTCAATTCATAACAGAAGTTATCTCAGGACACTTTTCAAATAGAGCAGGTCTAGACCGAACTCCTTATAACATTTACAGAGACCCAACAGTTCCCACCATGAGCAAGACCTTGGCGTATCTGCCCTTTTGGAGGTAATAATAAATAAAAGCCGCTGTTTCTGTGTCTGTAGATGGTGGAGCCCGTCGACCAGCTGCTGCAGAACGTAGATCCAGCCAAAGACCGAGAGCTGTGGGTGAAGGAGAACAATACCGGCGAGGTTCGACCTGTGGATATGGACATATAGCTCATATCCTGCCTGCAGTATTACACATAAAACACACATCTACAGAGTCCACAGGACGGTCTCCTCTAATAACACTGATCCAGGGTCAGTGCATGGTCAGACTGCCGAAGGTCTGCTCATCCTGCTCAGGTTCGTTAACTTTATCGCAGTCTGAGTGCAGGAAACAGTAACGGATCAAAGTACCAGCATGTTCCTTCGAAAAAAACTAAAACAAATGTTAACCCCTATCATAATCAACATTAGCTTATTGAATGCCATTTAACTTACTCTGCTGTTTACCTGTTGTAAAGTTAAAAACTATTAGAAAAAAAAGAATTATATGTATTTTGGATCGTTTTAGCTTCAATCAACACTTTTTCCAGTTTGAGTAAAACCAAACAAAACCAAACAAAAAAAAAACAGTCTAATCACCGATATTACCTTTATTTTAGATACGGATACTGAAGCTTATCGAGATCTTGAGAATGAATATGATATATTTTCATATTTTGCTGGTTCATTTTGGTGGAAATGCATGTTTTGAATATCTTGCTTTTTAGTGTAACTGAAGAGCTGCACAATTTTGTGGACCCATTTTTTATTTTTGTTGTTGTTGGTGTAAGTTCATTGCAAGGTATTCTGCATATTGTAAACAACAGAATCAACTCAAACACACAAAATCAACAACAACAACAACAACGTGGTGGTTCGGACTTATAGGCCAGGGTCTATTTTGGATCCGGAGGAATAAAAAAAGATTAAAAAAAGGTGGTCCAAGTTACACTGAAACACCCTTTAGTGCCTAACGGTTATATACCTGGAATGTCCTTGACATAACTCTGCATCGGTGTACATTTGTACATACAGGCTAGATGTATTTTGCTGTCAGATGTTTTAACGGGGGGTTTTTGGGGGGGACCAGATGAGATGTTTGTACTGTAAAATGTTGTTTTTTGTTTTTATTTTACAGAGAATATCTTTACGATTGCGGTCGGGGTTTAAAAAAAGAGAAAAGAGGGCGAACATGCAGCGTAACAATTACACATTTTACCAGAGACTGCATGTACAGTGTGTGTCTGTGTTTACATGTATGTGTCTTTTGTCTTCTATCTGATTCATTTCGAGGTTTGTTATGTTGTTTTTAAATCAGAAATAAAAATCCTAATCCAGCTGCCCGGCACGAAGAGAAAAAGATCTGCTATGAAAAAATACACAAACGCTCGCCTGCCTTATCAGTGGCATCGATAAAGTGCATTACATTGTTTATATTTGTGTTGAATAACCTTTTATTTTAATGCTTTAAATCCCCAAAAAATGCTAAAATATCTGTTTTTTTAATCGGTGTGTGTCAATGTTGTGCACTAAATGTAACGAGTTATTACGTTAACGACTAAATGTGTTTTTTCGACGGTTTCACGATGACGTAACGGTTCAGTTTTACCGCCCATCTGTGGTTGACATTTTCATGAAGGTGCATTAAATCCGATGTTTCCCCTCCATGTTTTTGAGAATGTTTTGATCATAGGTGACCTCTGTCCAGACGGTGTGCTGTGGAATGCAGTGTCCAAAATAAATCTCCTCTTGGAAAATTAAATATCACCGTGTCTTATTATGTAACGACGATTGTTGACCTCTCTCGGAGGAGGTTTAATCAGAACAAACCTTTAAACTCTGCTGGATCCAGTCCGGCACAGATTGGAAAGTGGAAAGTGAGGCAGGTGGATGGACGGTGTATTCGGGGCCAGGTACGAACCCCATATGGGCTCGGATTCCAAGTATTGTGTTGCGTAATATCACATTTGTTCCAGTAAATCTGCAGCAAGTAATTTGATTTACAAATGTTAAAGGAATAGTAACAACCTCACGTTGTGCACGTCACTAAATAAGAATAATAGTGAGTGAATTAGCTTTGGCTGAGGCTGATCTTACTAGCTGTTGAACCAGCAGTGTTAAAAACGTCACGTCGTGTTGTAACAGTTGGAAAAGTGAGTGGAAATAGACGCCGGTTCCCACAACACTCGTCGTTTATTACAAACACATTATCGAGCCCGGGTTGTAAGGACAGTATCTTATCTTTCTAGGCATCTTAAAGTCACATTTCACTAATTCAGCTGTTAACGATGTTTACAAACCGACTCAGAACCGTTGAAAGTTTCAAAAACAGGTTTGATTTTTTCAAAAAGAAATAGAAGATGTCTTGTAGCCGCTAAATGCAAGACGCTGTTGGAGGAACCCCGAGTGGAGATATTTCCTATTTTTACTTTAAAATTTTACAGCTAACAGAATAATAAAACACATCGGACTCAACGTGAAAGGTTTTCATGTGTAATGATTTTAATCTGATGATGGATTATAAAAAACATGGACTTGAAGCTACAGCTAGCGGCCAGTTAACAAAGACTGGAAGCAAGAGGGACACAGTCCAAAGCCGCTAAACGGTGTTAGCTTGTTATTTCTCACTCTCACCCTTCTGTCTTATAAAAGGGTTGAGAACAATCCTCACACGTTAAAATTGACGCTTTAATTTGATCTTAAATATATTGTTTACTTCTAAAAGTTTCAGAATCAGAATCAGAATCAGAAATACTTTAATAATCCCCGTGGGGAAATTACTTAAATAAAGTTTGGCCTAATGTTCAAGATTGTTCAAGATTGTGAAAAAGTCTGAGGATGCAAAGTAAAATAAGTTTATTACAAGTCAAAGATCTAAACCACACATGTAATTAACATCATTAAAGATCCAGTGTGTATGGTTTAACGGCGTCGTTGCAGATTGCAACCCCTTCTTCTCACCCCTCCTGTTCCAAGCGTGTAGGCCGTAAAAGCGTACGAGCAGCTTCGAGCCCATCCTGACTGAGGTTGTTTGTCTCAACTGACCTTCAGCTCCTAATAGGATCGGCTGATACAGGCGGATTGTTAACCTGAGCCTAATTCCTCCTTATAAGGAGCTCTCGTCCCGACTTTCTCTGCTATCAACCTAATGAATGAACCCAAGTGTGAACCAACATGCTGCGACGAGGCCAAGACACGAGAGTGACGGGAGGGAGGGAGGGAGGGTCATGATTAAGAGATGTAAAAGGGTATGGACGTTGAGATGGGATGCAGCGAACCCAGACTGCCTCACAAAGCCAATGAACAGGGCTTCCATCCACAGGTTTTTATGCACATTTTTAATTTTTGCATTAAATAAATGAGTGGAAATGCTAAAAAATACCACAAAAAAATGCTAAAAGTATTTTTTTTACGCTCAGCTGAGGTGGAAAAGTTGGTTTATTGATGAAAGCATGCGACAAAGTGCAGAGGAAAAAAGATTTAACGAATAAATCATGACGTACATGAATACATGACTTAATTAAAGAGACAAAAACAGATCAGAGAGACTTCCTCACGTTAATACATGAAGCAAACACACATTTTCCATCGTTGTTTTCTTGAGGTTTGACCAGCACTTCTGCTTCTGCAATAGTTTAATGGCACCCGATGGAAGATTAACAGCTGCTTATCCAGACAAACCAACTTCTAACATTCGTAGCAACATTTCTCAAAGTTAGAGAGGAAAACAAATTATGAAGATGGAAGGCTGTTAGCTGACCTGTTTGAGGGACATATGAGTTATAAAACCTCAATTTAATTAATTAACCTTGTATGCTTATTAAACATCTTCACAAACCTCACATACAACCAAAAAAAACACAGACTTGTAGACGAAAAATGCTACATGTTTGGATTATCTAAAGGGTGTAACACAAACAATAATAATACATCAATAATTAATAAAATAACTAATAAGAAATTCATCTCCACTTCAATACAAAAACGTGATTTAAATGTAGTTTATGAAATCACGTCACAGAGGCTAGCAGGGCTAACTAGCAAGGCCAGTTTATCAGGTGTTACATCTTCCTCTTGATATAAGTTCAATCAATCACATTTATATGGTAGAAACTGTGTGTTACTAAGATGTTTTAGCATTAAAATGTATGTTTCTGTTCCACTAAAAAGGAGTAACAGTTGGGGAAAATTAGCTTTGTCAGAGTGCAGTTGCTGCTGTTGTTTGTCTCTTTTGTACCTTTTCCCAAAAATGATGTATTTACTGGTATATTATTTATTTCTATGGTGAGTTAAGATGTCAAATGTTTGCATCCTGATCAGTTTTGAATAAATATGCAGTTATTGTATTTTGTATTGCAGTATAATGACGTTTAGGCCACTGGTTCCCAACCTTTTTCCCGTAAGGATCACTAATCTCTATCATTGATTAAACTGACTAATAATTTATTATTGGGATATTATGGATATTTAAGATTATATTAAAAACTGAACAATCACTTCAAACAGTGAACTCTGCAGGAAGTTTGTGTAAAACAAGAGATTTGGATGAATTCTGAGCAGATTATTTCCTGTTTAGGAAACTTTTTATATGATTATCTGTCTCTATTATGTATGTTTCTACTATTTAACAATCATACAGACTTAATAGGCTTCTTTTTTGGAAAGATTCAGTGTTTTCCTGTCCCTGACGCATTGTTCCATTAAACAATTAACATTAACTTTTCTCCACAGAAGTGAACCAAGGTTACTGTGCACATTTCAAACCTCCAGTCATTTCAAGATTTCCTCTGTTTCTGTTTTCTAGTAACAAATGCAAATTATCTAACTGCTTAGTCCATGAATGAAATGAAAAAAGAGAGTAGGTGAAGCAGACAAGCAGTCATATCAGGTAAAGGTAAGAATGTAAACAGAAAACAGTCTTAAAACCACATGAAAAGGGCTTTTTCCACCCTTTTTTTAAGCCCGTAGAGGCTTTTAATGCTTCTTCTCCTTCAGCTTGTCTTTAATTTTCTGAGGCTCGTCGTACTGTATCAACCGCAGGATGTCCTTGTTGTCCATCACACCCTGAATGAATTCCCCCTCTGAGATTTTATCTGGGGAAGGATGGAAGAAAAACAAGTTGCATCAACACATATACAAAGTTTTTAAAGCTTTTTTAAAAATCTGGTTAACGAATGGCGAGTTTTACCGTTCTCCTTCTTCCCGAAGAACTGCCAGATTTTTTCGGCCCTCTTCTCTGGCGTGTTTTCATCCTCGGGGAGGTTCTTCTGGTCCTCGACGGGAATCATGTTGAATATCGACTGCGTGAGAAGTCATTTTTAAAACATGTTAACAGTGCTTTATTCAGCATTTATCGAGCAAAATATATCAAAATTCAACCAATTCTGCAACTTTTTCCCGCAAATTTGACCAATAATTGTAGTTTCCATCTGAGTAATAGTGATTTTATTCTCACTGGAACAAGTTGCATTTGATTTTTAACAAATTATACCAGAAAAACAATAATTTTTGCTATTTTCACTTTCTTCCACAACTTAATAGCAAAAAAAAAAGACCTAAAAACATCAAAACATTTCAGAAAAGCTGCTAGAAAACCTGGAGGGACTGAATATTACCAAACATTAGCTGGTTGCAGCTTCTCAAACAGGACCACTTGCTGCTTTTCTGTGCTTTGTATAAACTGGAACATTTTGGTGTTTACGGACTAAAAGACATCACAGCAGACTCCATTATTGAAGAAAGCCTCGTTATTATTCTGCTTGTAAGGATTTAAAACCGAGTATACAATAAAACTCATTAATTACTTCCTACAATCCCATTCAGCTTTTCTTTTGTTGCCTTTACATCATTTATTTGAGGACATAAAAGCTTCAATAAATAACATTGTGGCTACTTAAGGTGAAAACACATTAATTAAACCAATATAATCTTGTTTTGAACATTTGTTCCTGTTAAAGTGGTGAAAAGGCTTTTTGGAAAGAGGCTGAATGGAAGTGAAACAGTATTAATAACTGCAGGGATGTTAAATAATATAATCTATAACCCGCTTTATTAAGAAGGCGTGTAAGTACCCTAACAATCTCTAGGATTTCGTTATTGCTGATGGTCCCGTTCCCGTCCACGTCGTACAGGGCGAAGGCCCACTCCAGCTTCTGCAGAGTCTTTCCCCCGGACGTGAGGTGCAGAGCGACAATGTACTCCTTAAAGTCCAAAGTGCCGTCGGCGTTGGTGTCGAAACTCCTGAACACGTGTCTGGCGTACTCCGTGGGGTCCGCGTTTGGGAAGAAGCTGGCGTAGATGCCTTCAAACTGCTCCTTGCTGATCTTCCCGCTGGGACACTCCTTCAGGAAGGACTGGTACCAGGTGCAGAGCTCGGCCTCGGAGTACTTGGTGTTGGATTTCAGGTCCTCCAGGAGCCCCTTGGACAGAGCGCTGCTCTTCGTGTTCCCCATCCTGCCAACTGACTGTCACAAACACAAAAAGAAGGAGTGAAACTTCTCCTTCTGTCCTCTTTGTTTTTGTGGATTTTTTTTCAGGATTAAAACCTCCGCAAGCGCTCGTTTCGACTCGCTCTGCCTCGCGTTCACCCTGTTGGCCCCTCAAGGTGCCAAACGGGATTATGGTTATCACTACCTAAATCCAGACAGCTGCCTTGGGAGATTAAGGGGATAACCACGTCACAGCACTATGACACCTCTTAGAAAGACACGGTTAAATACTGGAGGTGTAAGCAGAGGATTAAACACAGGTAACGCTGTAAAGGTCAACATCTGGGGAACCTTTTACGCCTTTTATGCAGCGTTGTCGGTTAAAGTACAATCCCATCTGCCACCACAGGGATTAATAACTCGCTGTGATGTTCATGATCAGACTACGCTGTAAATCCTGACAACACGTCTTAATAAAAGAAACTAAAACAACTTAATCCTGAATTAAATGCAGTATTTTAGTTATTGGTGATTTAAATTCCAGTTTGTTCCACTGATTCATTTTCTTTAAGTTGACTTTACATCAAAATAAAAAAACTAAGTAATAAATTAATTGTTTTTACGTCAGTAGTTTTAACAGGTAATATAATAATTTGCTTTAGTGGAAGAAAACTGAGTATAAAGAAAAAGCATTAAAGTCACTTTATTTAGATAAATAAGTTTGCAGAAATGCTGCATATGAGTGTAATATACTTAATTATATTATTCATAAATGAGTTACTTTTACTCAAATCAAATATTCATTTCATGCTTAATTTGTTGGAGGTAATACATTTATTTAAATTAATTAAATTGTAAAACTGTTCAGATTTTCCAGTTATTTTGGTTGATTGTTAATAAAAAATCAAACGTCTCGAGTTACTGCATTAAATAATGCTTCTGTCTCTATGAGCAGATAATGTTGTCAGATTTACTATTTTGGTGGAATTAAAAATGTCATATGTTAATTATTAATTAACATTTCCTAATAGAAGATGAGTTGTATATAAAGTTAATTTCTAGGAGGCAGGGCTGTATGTCGCTGCTGAACAACAGTTTTTTAATATTCAACTATCTCCAAGGATTAGATTTGTTTTCTAAAATACTTTAAATTATCACTTTTAATTTCACTTTTATAATCTTTTACTGCTGTTTATCTTAATAAACTCTTCCTCAGTGTGTGGATCCAGCACTGGGATCCAGACGAGGCTGACTGGATGAATGGACGCTGTGTTGGGGGGTCGCAGTGAAGCCCTGCGTGGGGTGGGCTGCTCCTCCACAATGGGATCAGATTATCTGTCTCCAGTGTAATAGTCTCAGGACAGATTACAAGACCATCTGCTGCAGTGGCGCCAAAACCGCAGCAAGTGGAGGCAATTAAAGACGACGGGAGTATCTGACAGACTGACATAGGAACTGATGGAAACCCTCCACTGATGGACGAACTGTCTGATTAACCGATAATTACCTGCTTCTTGTGGCCGATATCAATAAAATAACAGACCATTTCTAATTTTTGTGTTTTAAAAAGAGATGACTCTTCAAATAACACAATAGGTAATAAAATAAATGATTGTTATTACGGATTAATCTATCGGCTGTAACTGAATCATCCCAATAATCCTTAATAATATACATTTCCCATTAATGGCCAATAAAGACTGACACACTTTTACGTATTTAGGATAAAAGTGAGAGGACGACAGAATTCCCAGCGTGCTGTCAGACATGTGTGAGATAGATATTGAGACTGGCATCGACATTAATCTGTAATAATCTATGAGTTCCTCTCATGCCTCAGGGACCAAGAGGCCACCGCTTAAAGTCGGACACAAAGTTTATAATCCCGCAGCAGACAGAAGACTCTAAAGCAGGAGGGCTTTAACACAATACAGTATATGTTTATTTAAATTTTTATAGTAGTTTAGTAGTAGTATAGTAAATAGGCAGCAACAAAACTGTATTTTAACCACCTAAAAAAGTCCCATCCCCAAAGTCCATCAGTCCCTCCAGAACAATTAACACAAATTCAATGAATTGCCACACGTCACCAAACTGCTGTTTTATTCTCACTGGAACAAACTGCCTTCGAGGTATAATTAATTATACAGGAAAATACACTTTTTCCAACAATTTCAATCTAGAAAAATGCTTAAAAACATTGCAATTTTTTAAAATCTGTTGTGAAATCAGACATTTTAGGCCCAAAAATCGCCCAAAAAACCTTAGAAATCACCTTTTTATACAATTCTTTATCTGTATTATGTATTTTTAATCACTTTTTAACAATTATACAGACTTAAAAAGCTTCTTTTTTGGTAAATTCAGTGTTTTCTTGTCTCCAACTCATTGTTCTATTAGACAATTTACATTCACTTTTATCCACAGAAGTGAACCAAATGCTCAGATATTATTATTGTTTATCATTTTTCATCAGTATCAGTTTTCTTGCACGCCTTAAAATAAAGAAGGCCTCGCAACCCCTCATGAAGCTTTGGCGACCCATCAGTGGGGGTCCCAACGAATCCAGATTCTGTTACTTTGTTGACTATTTCTCTCCTAAAATCATTCACAAACATATTTTACTGTTTATCTGTAAAACCAGAACATGTGTGACCAGGTGAAGCCTGTTTCCTGCTACAAAATATAACTAAATATTTATTATTGTATAAGCATCTCTGTGTTTTGTGTGTTGAATAAAAAGAACCTTTTCACAGCCCCCGTTTCTCCGGCTTTATCCACAGCTTAATACACCGACTACGATAAGTACCTCAACCTATCCCTTTAAAGCTGGACAATACTCTGACTTTATTTTCCTCTAAAGCCACTGAACATAATCTGGGACGTTCATAATCTGCATTCTACCTTTTTTTTGCAGCAGGAACTGTTACGTAATCATTTTAAACATTTAGGTTTTGTGATAAAATGCAAAGTAAGTCGAGTATCTCTGCAAAAGTTCAAATGTCACATCTGTCAGTTTCTCATATAACTGATATTTGTGCCCCCCTGCTCGCAGGTATTTATTATGTAAAGAGGGATGAGTGGGGGGAATATTCACTGTACAACAGGCTTACTACTTCATCAAGTGTAACGTCCTGTCTTTTCATTTTTTATTACATGGAAGCTAATGTTCAGATTAATCTCTTTGTGTTCAGGGGAATTACTCAGTGAGACGCTGGCTTCCTCTCAAAGGGCTGCTGTCAGGTTCAAAGAGGAACTTACTCCACAGTGAATCAACGTTCAAAGCTAAAACTTTAAGGCTGCGCTGTATGTTCACAAACATCACGACTTAATGCACATTTATGAATTATTCTGCAAACACAGCTTCTACAAACAGGTAAAATATTCTGAAATATTGTCAGATTTTCTTGTCAAACTAGAATTCTTAAAACTAGTATAAATATCTGTCCACTGAAAGACTGTAATGTGCCTTAAAACTAGAAAAAATGCCAAGAATGTGAGGAAGTTGTGCTGATTACAATTGGAAAACTGAATGGTTAGAATTTATTCCTCAATCTAAGATTAAAAATTAG